GGAATAGAGTGTATGGGAAAGCATTAGAGTTTCAGAGGTCTTCTCACATAAGAGGGAATCCACAAATCTACAATAGCAATGGTCATCATAAACAGAATGCTTACTATGTAGAGGCACTATGCTAAGCACTCAACATGTATTACTTGTTTAATCTGCCAGTGAAGGTACTATTATTATATTCATTTTACAGATGATGCCCAAATACACAGAACCAGATTCCAAACTCATTCTAACAATACACACTATTATTTTTTTGTCTGAGTAGTAGTCTCCCTCTGTCACCTAGGCTGGAGTGCAGTGGCAAGCTCACAGTCACTGCAGCCACAACCTGCTAGGCTCAGGTGACCTTTCTGCCTCAGCCTTCCAAGTAGCTGGAAACACAAGTGTGCACCACCATGCCCAGCTAACATTTTTTGATTTATTGTAGAGATGAGGTCTCACCAAGTTGCCCAGGCTGGTCTTGAACCTCTAGACTCAGGCAATACAGTCTATTCTTAACTAGTATGCCACCATACTGAAATGTCAAGTAAGCAGATTATAGGTTACCTAATCACCTGGATGGTGATATTTAACTCTGGAAAACAAAGGTACAGCTAAGGCTTGAATAACTGAGGTGGTTACAGGTCAAAACACATCAACTTTTGGAAATACAGTCATTTGGCGCAAACCAGGTTTTTGGTCAACAATAGAGCACATATACCACAGTGACTCCCTAAGATCATAATACCATATTTTCACTGTACCTTTTCTATGGTTAGATACACAATGACTTACCATTGTGTTAATAAGTACCTACAGTATTCAGTACAGTAACATGCTGTAAAGATTTGTAGCCCAGGAGCCATAGGCTATGCCATCTAGGCTTGTGTAAGTATATTCTGTGATGTTTAGAGAAAGAAATTGCCTAACAATGCATTTCTTGGAACATATCCCATCATTAGACAACACAAATGTACCTAGCTGGCTGAATCTGTCACTAGCGCCTGAGTGAGCAGAGTATGCCTTTCCACAGAAGCTTCACAGGCTCTGTATTTGGGATGACCTTCTCTACTTATCTGTTTATATTAAGAAAAACTGAGCCGGGTTCAGTGGCTCGGCCTGTAATCCCGCGCCTTTGGGAGGCTGAGGTGAGTGCATTGCCTAAGCCTGCGGGTTCGAGACCCGCCTGGGCAGCAAGACCTCATCTCTACAATAAATCAAAAAATCAGCCGGGCGTGGTAGCACGTGCCTGTAATTCCAGCTACTTGGAAGGCTGAGGCAGAAGGATCACCGGAGCCCAGCAGGTCGAGGCTGCGGTGGCCGGGAGCGGCCACTGCACTCTAGTCTGGGCGACAGAGTGAGACTCCAACTCAAAAAAAGAAAAAGAAAAACTGGCTGCATTCCTCCAGTAGCTGGGCGTTCATGGAGGCATCTTCTGTCATCCATAGAAAAGGTGAAATTTTATTCTTTCCTCACGTATGAATATGCTTAACGCCAGAATTCTGAATTTTTGAATGCTTCATGTAGAGCAGGTGTTAAACCATTTCCCTCAGGAAATGAATTCAGTACACAACAGCATGTATGGCACAGGACAAAATTCTAATATATGTTGTCAGGTTTTACATAACTCCTGCTTTGCCCCACATCTCTTGAGGTTTAGAGAATTTCGCATACCTGTTTGAGTCTACCTGTTTGAATCATCATTACATGGGGCACACTTTAAGGCAGGCATTATTCCTGACCACAGGAAGCAAAAAGCAAAAACAACACACCAAGAAATTAGTCCCAAAGGAATTTTAATATGTGAATTAGGAAATTGAAATGGAATTTAATACTATTAAGGCTTGACAGCATTTGCTCCTGAGCACTAGATGGCAGTGTTACTAAACAAACATAGCATCTGTGTGTAGGAGCCAATTATAAATTTGAGCTAATTTTAGTCAATCACATGGCTTCTGACAATATCCAGATCTCAATTATTTCATAAAGTTTTTTCACTATGACCTAAAAAAGGGAGCTTTAAAAGTATACGAAAAAGGAAGGAATAGTAACATCAGCACTATCTGCATTATAGAGTACACCTCCCAGAGCACCCACTTGAATTCTGTCTATCCACAGATTCGTCACTGGTGCTGTTGCCGAAAGGCTGAGAATACATGGCTTGTCACACTTATTGTTTATCTTTCAATGGACAGTGGTTTATGATTCTTAAGGCATTTTTTCTGGTCCATTTCTTTCTTTGAGCCTCACAATAACTCTGAGTGAGGCAGTACAAGAATCCTTAACCTCATGATTCAGAAAGTAAAGGGAAAGTGACTCATGATTTATAAAGGGGAAAAAGGGGAAGTGACAGGTTCACTGAACATTCCTTGTTTACAAATCAGACTGGAAGGAATCTACAAACCCCGCTCTCTCTCTCAATATATGTCTTTTAAAAAATTAAATGTGTAATCTTTGTAATAGAACCACGTTTAATATATGTTTGACCTTTGGGTTGCTAAATCCAAATACAGTAAGAGTAGAGCATGGGAATATAGTGCATGAAATCTGGTTTAATTATCTAAATACTTAAAAACATTATGGTACATTGTTGATAGGAATGTAAAATGGTATAGATTCTCTAGAAAAGTTTGGTAGTCTTTTTTTTTTGTAGAGACAAGGTCTCACCTCACTATGTTGCCCAGGCTGGTCTCCAACTCAAGCAATCCTTCCACTTTGGCCTCCCAAATTGCTGGAATTAAAGCCATGAGCCACTGTACCCAGCTGGTATTTATTAAACTAAAACTTCGGTTGGGCACAGTGGCTCATGCCTATAATCTTAGCACTTTGAGAGGCTGAGGTGAAAGAATTGCCTGAGCCCACGGCCTTGAGACCAGCCTGGGCAACTTGGTGAAACCTCATCTCTACAATAAACCAAAAAATTAGCCACCTGTGGTGGTATGGGCCTATAGTTTCAGCTACTTGGAAGGCTGAGGCAGAAGGATCACCTGAGCCTAGCAGGTCAAGGCTGAGATGGCTGTGAGCATGCCACTGCTCTTTTAGCCTGGGTGACAGAGTGAGACTCTGACTCAAAAAAAAAAAAAAAATTACATTAAATTAAAAAAACAAAAACTAAAACATGCAATTAATAAATGACCCAACGTTTGTACTCTTGGCCATTTATCCTAACAAAATAAAAAATTATGCTCACCCAAAAACCTATACACAAATGTCAATAGAAGCTTTATTTGTAACAGCTCCAAACTGAAAACAATGTACATACATGTTCTTCAGTAGGTGAATGGTCAAAAATGGTTAAATAAATGTTGGCACTTCTATAGCATGTAATACTACTCAGCAATAATCGGGAACAAACTTGATACATATAACAACTTCTATGCATCTCCAGGAATTATGCTGAGTGAAGAAAGACAATCTCAAAAGGTTATGTATTTTATGATTTCATTTATGTAGTATTCTTGAAATGACATTTTAGAACTAGAAAATAGATTAGTATTGCCGGGGTTAAAAGTGTGCAGGGGGAGGGGAGGAAGACAGAGGGGATATGACAGGCTATTCGATGTAATTATGAAGGGGTGACACAAGGATCCTTGTGGTGATGGAATATAGTAATACAAATCTTTGCATGAGATAAAATTGCATAGCACTGAATACGCACACACACACACACACACACACACACAAACTGAGCAGATCTGAACAAGACTGTGGATTGTGTCAGTATCCTGGTTATGATAGTATACTACATTTTGCAAGATGTTGTCAATGGGGTAATGGGTACATGGGATCTTTCTGTATTATTTCCTACAGCTACACATAAATCTATAATTATCTCAAAACAAAAAATTTAATTAAAAAATTATGGGTTTTACTTGATATCTGTTCCTTTATCAGACCATCAATTACAAAAAGAACAAATTCAGGAGAGGGGGAGGTACACCTCATTAACCTGCATAATGAACATTTGTATACCTAACCCTGAATTGTACCCTATATATTTAACATAACAAAAATAAATAAATAAATTTGCTGGCTATCACAAAAACCAAAAAAACAAAAACAAAAACAAAACAAATTAATTCAATAAATTTTAAAATAGTAAATGCTGCAGCTGGGTGCACCTGTAGTCCCAACTCCAGAAATGGGAGGACTGCTTGAGCTCAGGAGTTCAAAGGCAGCCTGGGCGAGCAAGAGCTTGTCTCTTACAATTAAAAAATTAAAAAAAAGGCCAGCTGCTAAGGACACAGTAATGAACAAGGCAGATAAAAGTGCCTGCCTCCGTGGAGCTTATATTTTGGTGGGCAGGAGACAGACAATGAAGAGAAGAAAAACACAAACCATGTTAGCTGGTTAGAAGGCAGTCTTAGCAGGAAAGTAAAGCACAGCAGAATGATGGGGGTGAGGGAATGTTATTTAAATAGGGTGGTCAGAGAAGGCCTAATCTACATGGAGGCCACCTGAGACCCAGAGAAGGAAAGGGAGCAAGCCATATCTGGGAAGGAAATATTGCAGGCCAAGGGAACATCAAGTGCAAAGGTCTGTTCTGAGGCAGGAGCACATGGAAAGTCAAGAGAGTCAATAAGGCTGGGGTCAGGTGAGCAAGGCAGAGTGACAGATGGAGGCCAGGGGTAAAAGGGCCAAATCAGGTAGGGCCTTGTGAGCCAGTGCCATGATCTTGGCTACGATTTGAGTGAGACAGGACACCACTGGAGGGTTTTAAGCAGAGGAGTGTTGCCATGCAACTTATGTTTTGCCAGGATTACTCTGGTTGTGGGGTTAGGAATAAGTAAGGGAGAAGCAGTGGGCAAAAGATGGGAAACCTGATAGGGCCCACTGCAAAATCCAGATGAAAGACAGTTATATGGACCAGGAGAAATGACCTGGGTGGATGTCATTATGCTGCTGTACATATGGACCTTAACAGATAAGTGACAAATCAAATTTGCATTGCATTAAGGCCCTTATAAAATGTTACTCTGTTTTGTTACTTTGGACAAAGTTAGGGATTTAGTTGTACAAACCTTATCTTGTGATCCAGAGGGTGTCTCTTCTAGAGTCTCGGTGCTTCCTAGATTGGAGAGTTGAGTGCTTGGCTGTAATCCAGGGCTGGAGATATTTGAGTCACCCATCTGATTCTTAAAAAAGTTAAAAGAAAAAGCACATCACATGGAAAAAGTTTGCTATTTATTATCTGGCTCACAAAACAGCATTCTAGATTGAGAAATGCTATTCTAAAAAACAAACAAAAAATGTTTGCTTTGTACTCTAATCTAAACAACTTAAACAATAACATTTCTAGAAAGCTAAGCACCTAACGTTAGACGACAGTATTAGCCACAATTGTTACTTTTATCACCCCTTTAAAGAAAAGTCAATGGCATTATTACATAATCCTTTCTGTTATATTTTTAAGTTAACATATTGTAAAATTAACTTTTTTCAGGGGGTACATAGTTCTATTTGTGTACCCACCACTACAATCAGGAAATAAGACAGTCCCATTATTGCCCCCAAATTCCTTTGTGCTGTCCTGTTGTAGTCATGCCCTCCCTCCACTTCTGGCAACCTGGTCTGTTCTCGACCAATATCGTTTTTTCTTTTAAGTGCTAGTTTCTTCTTTCAGTTAGCATAATGCCTTTGAGAATCATCCAATTTATAACAGGGTATTAATAGTTCATTGTTTTCAATTGCTGAGTAGTATCCATTATATAAATACATGTTTGCTTAACCATTCACCTAAAAGGACACTTGTGTGTTTCCAATTTTTGGTGATTATGAATACAGCTTCTACAAACATTTGTGTAGGTTTCTTGAGTGGACAAAAGTTTCACTGCTCTAGAGTAAATACCTAGGGTCATATGACAAATGTATTTTTCTTCCAAAAGTTTTATATTTTACATTTATATCTATGACCCACTTTGAATTGATTGTTATATATAACATGTTATAGGTTGAGGGTTTTTTTTTTTTTTTTGCATATGGACACCCAATTGTACCAACATTAACAAGTTCCTGTTGATATGCATATGACATTAAAAGTAGAAATATTTTTGTTCTTTCTTATTTATTTTTTTTTTTTTGAGTTGGAGTCTCACTCTGTCGCCCAGACTGGAGTGCAGTGGCCGCTTCCGGCCACCGCAGCCTTGACCTGCTGGGCTCCGGCGAGTTCCTCAGGCAACACCTTTGGTACCCTTCCACTGTGAGAGCTTTTCTGTCCTCTCAATAAATCCTGCTTTCAAAAAAAAAAAAATCCTCAAAATATCACTAGGTAGACATGGAATTAAGAATGTTTTGAATCTTAAGTGATATTCATCCTGGTTATCTAATCCAGGATCTGGGGAACACTATCTAAGTCAAAAATCAATACCAAAATCAGTTTAGAAAATGCAAGAGATTAGATTTTAAAAATTAATAAAAGCATCCCCAACCTTCAGTTCAGAGACATTAATTTTCTTGATACCATACTATAAAGATAGGTGCTTGGCACAGGAGGAGGTTCTCAAATGTTAGATGAATAGATAATACATATTTTTCTATTCAAATGTCTTAATCCTTACATTATTTCAGAATATCAGTTACTCAGTGTTACCAATTTGAATATGGGTGAAACAGCTGTGAAAGCCTAATCTAATGCATCTTAATCTAATGTATCTCTCTTTGTACAATATCACCATCCACCAGAATCAACCCCATTTTGAGGAAGTTGGAATTAAGTTGTTAGAGAAAATATAAACTCAAAACATTGTTCAAAAAAGTTCTTGAAATAGAAGGTGTAAATGTTGAGAAACATTTTAAAAGTTGGAAGTTTTCCCATAAAAATCCAGATGTCATTTTCAGAGAAAGGCTGGACGAGTTAGCAACGTGAGGTCATTTGGCAACAAGTGGCTAGGCTGGGCTGCAACTGGCCATTACTCAACAGGCTCAACCTACTTCAGCTTTACCCTGGCCCACTCTATATGCATTACCATGGCCTACCTGGCTCTTGGGGTATTTAAGTTTGCAGTACTTCACTTAAACATAAGCTGCACGACTGGCTTATATTGTTATATTTTAATAAAAGTTCTTAAAATTTCATGTATTTTTGATACTTGTGCAGTCTTTTGTGAAAGATTGGGGATATGGACAATAACAAACTTGCTGGAGAATAATTTTACAATATTTGGTAAAAATCTTAAAAATGTCAAAATCCTTTAATCTAACAATTTCATTTCAAGTAATTTATCTTAAGAAAAATTAAGGTTGTACATGAAGATTTAGCTACAAGGATATATTGCCAAGTTCACGAATAGAAAGAATTAGAAGAATTAGAAAAATCTAGGGTCTTGTTTATATAATGCACAGAAGGAAAAATATACAACACATTTCTTTCTTTAAAAACTTCATTCTGGCCAAATGCAATGGCTCAAGCCTGTAATCCCAGCACTCTGGGAGGGCGAGGCAAGAAGATTGCTTGAGCCCAGGGGTTCAAGACCAGCCTGGGCAACTTGGTGAGACCTCATATCTACAATAAAAAAAAAAAAAAATTAGCCGGGTGTGATGGCTCGTGCCTGTAGTTCCAGCTACTTGGAAGGCTGAGGTGGAAGGATCACCTGAGCCCAATATGTCAAGGCTGCAGTGGCCATGAGTGTGCCACTGCACTCCAGCCTGGGCAACAGAGTGAGACTCCAACTCAACACAGTATGTATATCACATACACATGGGCATCTTTTTGGAAGTATATATAACAAATTATTAACAATGATTATTTCTAGCTGTTAGAATTATGATAATTTTTCTTTTTTCTTTTTTTTTTTGAGTTGGAGTCTGTCGCCCAGACTGGAGTGCAGTGGCATGCTCCCGGCCACCGCACCCTCGACTTGCTGGGCTCCGGCGATCCTTCCACCTCAACCTTCCAAGTAGCTGGAACTACAGACACGTGCTACCACGCCCGGCTAATTTTTTGATTTATTGTAGAGATGAGGTCTCACCAAGTTGCCCAGGCGGGTCTCAAACCCACGGGCTCAGGCAATCCACTCACCTCAGCCTCCCAAAGCCTGGGATTATAGGCTGAGCCACCAAGCCCAGCTAATTTTTCTTTTTGTTTACTGTAATTTTTATGTTTTATTTGTTCTTTAAAGTTTTAAAACAGAGTGTTTTAGCAAGAAAGAGAAGGAAAAAGGAAGATTTACAGCAAAAAGACCTGCCATGGGTGAGGGAGAGTTTCTCAAAAAAGAAAAACTACCTTGTAATTTTTAAATACAAAGCTTTCTATAGCTAATATCAACTGCTTACATAATGAGCAAAATAATAATGTTCCTATTTTTTTCAAGAACAAAAAAAATGCCTGTAATTCTGGCATTTTGGGAGGCCAAAGGAGAAAGACTGCTAGAGGTTAGGAGTTCAAGATCAGCCTGGGACATACAGCTAGATGCTGTCTCTACCAAAAAAAAAAAAAAAAAAAGCATGATGATATCCATCTGTAGTCTCAGCTGTTTAGGAGGTGGAGGCAAGGGGATCGCTTGAGCTCAGAAATTTGAGGCTACAATGAGTTATGACCACATCACTGCTCCAGCCTGGGCAACAGAGCAAGATTTTGCCTCTTAAAAAAATTTTTTTTTGGCAGGTTATCCAAAACAAACAAATTTAAAAACCCTACCAAAATCCAGGATTAATTGTGTGGGTAGAAGCAATTCAGAATTGGCCAACTGCAAAGGACTATGGTTTAAACTATCTTTCTTCATATTAAAGATAACAGCCGGGCTTGGTGGCTCGCCCGAGCCCACGGGTTCGAGACCCGCCTGGGCAACTTGGTGAGACCTCATCTCTACAATAAATCAAAAATTAGCCGGGTGGTAGCGCACGTCTGTAGTTCCAGCTACTTGGAAGGCTGAGGTGGAAGGCTGGAGCCTGGCAGGTCGAGGCTGTGGTGACCGGGGGCGGCCACTCCAGTCTAAGTGACAGAGTGAGACTCCAACTCAAAAATAAATAAATAAATAACAAAGTTGGTTAAAAAAAATTACAGGACTTATAGAGATTTTAAATTTTCAAACAGTCTCTATATTAATCATATGACATACAGTAGACAGGAGAGACCTAGAATCAGGATTAAATCCCATTACTGCTTGTACAGTGCCCTTGACTCTGGCAATCTCAAGTCTCTACCTAAAGATAAACAAAGGGGCCACCTGTAATCATGTAACAGCAGAGAGGAGCCTATCCAAATACTAAGACCCATGAACTCATGGGTCACTGCTAATACCAGCTCCATTTGGTTAGATGATAGACAAGGGTCAATAAGAAAACAAAACTCTTACTTAAGGAAGTACCACCTATTTACAGACAGTGCTCAAAAACATAAAGAACACACTAGAAGGTAAAAATCAACGACTTAACCAAATCCCCCAATGGTTTCATTTTAATCTAACCATAGACAATACTTTTCATTTTATACTGAGAAAGAATTTTCTTTACAACAAAATTGTGCTATACATAGTCTTTATTTTTGCAATATTTATGTAATTAGGAATCATGTCAGATTTTTAGACTGCACTTGACTTAAGTTCCTTTAAAGCTCTACATACAAAAATAAGGCCTTACTTCCTTCTTTCCTTTTGTGGTTATTCATTTTTCAGTCTAGGAGTCAGCCTGGCCACTTCCTGGAGTATCTGCTCTAGTATGCAGCATCTACAGTTTCTGTCCCATGTGGCACCTTGAAACGGTTCCACTCTCAATGAGTGATAGAGCCCTGTACTTATTAGTTACCTGTAAGAACACAGCAAGGCCTCTATCTATGAACAAGGTATCGATGTAGATAACCCAGATGTCAATAAGGGATGAGAGAGGATTCTGGGAATATACAGCAACTTTTTTTTTTTTTTAGTTGGAGTCTCACTCTGTTGCCCAGGCTGGAGTGCAGTGGCACGCTCCCAGCCACCGCAGCCTTGACCTGCTGGACTCAGACAATCCTTCTGCCTCAGCCTTCCAAGTAACTGGAACTATAGGCACGCGCTACCACACCCAGCTAATTTTTTTATTTATTGTAGAGATGAAGTCTCACCATGTTGCCCACGCTGGTCATGAACCTGCAGACTCAGGCAATCCTCTTGCCTAGGCCTCCCAAAGTGCTAGGATTATAAGCTTGAGCTACCCCATGCCTGGTCAAGGCAACTTTTAGATTCAGAAAGTGAAACTTGAAATTTATTCTCATTTGGTTTCGTAAGAATCAATGAATTTATTATAGAGACGACTGCTTTCTCTATATTTAATTTCCACAGATCCATAAATTCTTTCTGATTATCTATGAGACACTGAAGAATTTGGTACAACTTCAACTTCTCATTGGCTCTAATGTACATTTATTTCTCCACCTGGAAGGTGGAGCCTCCTTTGGGGTTTGAATGTAGGTTTACTGTAGTTTATGGTGAACATGCCTCTTTTAGTTAGAAGACACTTAAAGGGGTACTTTTTCAAAGTTTGTTCCCTGAACTCCAGATTCTTGAGTTGTTAAAGGGTAGTAGCATGTAAATAATAGTCCTGTAGCCCCATCACCTGGGAACCAGCATTACTGTTTATTTATCGTGGGCCCTCTGTTTTGAGTACTGTAAAGTCCTAAGAGGAAGTGGGGAGGAAAGTCAACACTACCAATTTCCTTAACCTATCTGACCAATTTGAAACTTTTTTCAAGGATAATCTATTAATAACCTAGAAGTTAGCATTATAGTAGAATTTTCTTTGAAGTTTTGGTAAAGTGAGTATGAAACAGAAACAAAAGAAAAGCATTTAACCCAATGTTTAACAGAGTAAGGTGATAATTATAATTCTGCTGAAACAAAGTGCAGCAGTAGAAAGATTCAGTCTCATTCCAATAAAGCATGGGGGCTTTGAGGTGCCAAGTAAAAGGCCAGGACACTTCCACAGTCATGAGATTTGAAGACAGTGTTACAAAATGTCCACTGCTTGGCACACAGTGAACAGTTCATAAGCATGTGTTGAATAAATTAACTAATGCACCACAATTGCCATTTTGTTCAAATTGTTCAGAAGAGAAAACACTGAATTACAGAAAAGCCAAATCTTATTTGGGTAGAAGTCCAAATAATGCTTCCGGAAGGCTATGCTCCTACCATCAATTATAGACAATAAATGTAACTTTTAGTATAATGGGGTACAAATTATCAGAATACTATCCAAAGCCTATGACCGATGAGCATCCTAACAGAGACTACAGGGGTGAAGAAAAGGCACAAAGCTTTTCCAGAACTACCTACTATGGTCTAACTTCCAAACTCCACTACCATTTTATCCCACAGTAATTTTACAGGAATAGAAAAAGAGCATTGTAAATTTTCCTGCCCAAACAAGTACTCTGAAGTAAGCAGGGTTCTTTCCTTACCTTTTAGGCTTAAAATAAGACATACTTTTTTTTTTGAACTAACATTTTTGTTGGCCCTAGAGACCAGCTTTCCCAGTTCACAAGTCACCTGCAGGTCTCCTCCTCCCCTTCTGGTCTACCTCGGTCTACACCCAGAGAGCCTCACCCTCTCATACTCATCCTTGGCTCTGCTCAGCATCTCCAGGATGTCGATGGGCCTGTGGTCACTGCAGCCATTGGCCTGGCTGGGACTCTGTTTATCACAAGCAGCTTGCTGGGATCGCCGTGTCTCTTCTTCTACCACACTAGAGGAAGAGAATCAGGTTTTAGAAAGGCCTCTTGAGACACAATCTGACCCAAGATTTCTTTTGGTGTTCATCTTCCAAGGACACATTAAGTGCTACATGATGACACCACCCTTGCAATACATAATAGAGGCTTGGTTACTTCATTCCAAATATATGGCATAGCATTTCACCAGCTCATTCACAACAGTGCCAACATTTCACCTTTAGAAAGACAAAAAATGCAGAATTCCTTCCTAGAGTTGGAATAAGGTATGGAAGTAGGTACCTTTAAAAAGCTACTAAAGCATCTCTCTTTTCTCTAAGTAAGCCAAATTAATTGGTAAAGTAAATCTAAAAATGGACAGTGCCACCAAGACACAGGAAGGTTATATAGCTGAACAACTCACTGGAAAGTTTGTAGTAACATTGGGCTAGTAAGGAGAAGGCTGCTGATTAAAAACAGAGTCTTGACGAGTGTTCAAAAGTTAAATGATAGAGCTACAAGCAAACAAAAGGTTGCCCTGATTCCTAAAAGTCATTAAATGGGTGGCTGAGCTCAGGGTAGTCATGTTCTTTATTTTGACTGGTGCTGCTTAAGCTAATTCTTCACTTGAAAGTTGATAAAGCAAGAAAAGTCTTGGGTTAAGAATGCCACTGACAGGCTTGGGGTTTTCAAATCCATCTGTGGGCTTTCATTTTTTAAGAACATTCCCTTCTTCCCTGCATATAAAGATCTGAAGCAATTTTAGCAAAATGTTAGGAACTGAAAGCTGAGTGGTAAGCATGTGGATATTTAATTATTTCCTACATCTTTATTCAAGCTTGAAATAAATTATAATAAGGTAACACTTTTCTTTAAAAAAAGTTCATTCAGGTTTCAGTTCCACCTGCAATGAATAAGCTGACAGGCAATAAAACAATTCAATAGTGAAAGGCTTGTTTTATTTTTAAGAAATAAGAGGAATAAGACAAGCAAAGGCCACTCAGTGTCAGTTCATGGCTTTAAAACAGCCTGCTCAGGAACTCCTACAGTAAGAGAAGGGAGATAGCTCTTTTATTTAAAAACACTGAGTTAAACAATGTTAGATTTTCTTTTCTTTTTAAAAATAGAATAAACATTCTGAGTTTTTTTTTTTCTTTTAAAAAGATTTTGGAGAGACACTTTGTTGCTCAGGCTGGTCTCAAACTCCTGGACTCAAACGTTTCTTCTACCCTGGCCTCCTAAAGTGCTAGGATTACAGGCGTGAGCCACTATACCTAGACTCATTCTGATTTTTAACATGCTACAGTATATTGTAATTCTTCAAGAAGGGTGGACTTGTAGATTTTCCCACATTTTATTTGGCCATAGAATCCTCTCCTGGGGCAGGATTCCTGTTTGGAAAATGCTGCTTTAAGGTAATAGGTAGTTTCTCTAGCTAGCTTCTTATATCTCTTAATAAGATTATTACTTCTAAAAAAAAATAGAATCATGGGCTTCATGGTAGACTAAAAGAAGACTGGCATGGGATGAGAATCAGACCAATTATGACTTGTTTATTTAATACTCAGTTATATGCCACACCAATCTGAATCCACCTTTATAAATAACTGTCACATAGCCTATTTTCCACCTACCTTGTTGCCTTGTTGCCTGGCACAGCCATGCTGGTATTCAACTCTTTCCTGACCTAGATTGGATGTGCACTTTTGGTTTAAAAGAATATTTCTTTTTTTTAATTTAGTTTTTGTTTTCGTAAAAGACAATGTCTCATCACTATGTTGCCCAGGCTGGTCTTGAACTCCCGGGCTCAACTGATCTTCCCACTTCAGACTCTAAAAGTGCTGGGATTATGGGCATGAGCCACTGCACCAAGCCTGCTCAAAAAAATATTCCTAATAATTGCCATTGTTCACCTGTGGTACAGGCCTTTTTTTTTTAAATTTGGGGTCTCACTCTGTTGCCCAGGCTAGAGTGCAGTGTCATGATCACAACTATCATGGCTCATGGCAGCCTCGACCTCCTGGGCTCAGGTGATCCTTCCACCTCAGCATCCCAAGTAGATGGGGCTACAGGTGTGTATCACCATGTCTGGCTAACTTTTTTATTTTTGGTAGAGAGAGGTTTTGCTATGTTGCCCAGGCTGGTCCATGCCATCTTATAAATTTCACCACTGCTGAAAACAGAAGCTGTAAAGGCTGCTTTGGAAGGGACTCTCATGCAAATGAGGCTTAGAAGCTAAGGCCTCTTCCAAACTTTATAGTGTCCTAGCCTCTCTGTTCCTCTCAAACACCAAAACATGCCCCTAAGACTGTAAGACCAGGAATAAAGTTCGCTTCCACAAGTTCTCCAAATTTTACATAGTCTATGTGGCCAAACACTCAAATACATTTTTATTGTTAAAAAATTTTATTGCTAAATAAAATTAACTTTTTATTGTTAAAAGTTTCTGGCAGACAGTATTTCCTCTTGAGGAACGTCAACATCTTCCAAGTTTAGTGGGTTTTCAACTTTATCACTGACCAGAGAATATCCAAATTTAGATGTAGTAAAGGTCTAGAAACTTTCTTACATTGCTTCTCAGTTTTTATAAATATCTTTTGAAATAATTCAATTTTTTACTTAGAGTCTTTATTATATTGCAGCTGTCAAAAGAGTGATGGGAAGAATTGCACTTAACAGAATGGGCACTGATAGACACACTTATTTAGCTACAGAATATGCCAAAAAGAGTTTACCAGAATTTTTGGTTAACAGTGGTAATATTCTGAAATATGTAGCAAACAGAGGCATATGCAGGCAGATTCAGAACAAATATAGTTTCTTTTTTCCTTTGGTGATCAGAAAGCCATTTATCACAAAGTTAACGGTAACAAATAAGGTATTCTCTTTAGTTTCATGAAGGTATTCTCTAATCACTTTCTTTTCTTTTTTTCTCTCGAGATAGGATCTCACTATGTTGCCCAGGCTGGTCTTGAACAACTGGGCTCAAGTGATCCTCTTGCTTCAGCCTCACAAGTAGCTAGGATGACATGCTAGGATTGCATGCTACCACGCCTGGCCTCTCTAATTACTTTCAATACCACCCCTCCTTATAGTTAAACAAACTGAAAATTTAAGCAAATATTCCTCCTTCATTTACCATCTGAAGTCTTGCATTACATAGAGAAAAAAGTTCAAAATGGTTTCCTCTCAATAACTGTTAGAGCTAAAATAGCAGATTCTCTCACTCAGGGTCCAAATGCTTTCATTTTTACAGGAGAAAGTGTCTAAATATTAATATACTCCAACGTTTTAATTTTTAAGAAAAAGATTCTAGATTTCTAGATAACTATGGATCAACAAACCTGTGTCTTCTAAGTAAGCTTCCTTTGCTGTCACTTTCTAAACTAAAAAAACATGATCATCAAATAAATGGTTTTGTTAAAAAATAGTTTTAGCTAGGTGTAGTGGCACATGCCTGTAGTCCCAGTTACTCAGGAGGCTAAGGTGAGAGGATCTCTAGATCCCAGGAGTTCAAGACTAGCTGAAGTAATCTAATGAGAACTCATCTCAAAAACAATACACATTTTTTAAAAAGGAAAATAGTTTTACCTTAAAAAAAAAAAAAGGCCAGGTGTGGTGGCTCACGCCTATAATCCCAGCACTTTGGGAGGCCAAGGCAAGAGGATTGCCTGAGCCTACGGGTTAAAGACCAGCCTGGGCAACTTGGCGAGACCTCATCTCTACAATAAATCAAAAAATTAGCCGGACATGTTGGTGCATGCCTGTAGTTCCAGCTACTTGGAAGGCTGAGGCATAAGGATCACCTGAGCACAGTGGGTCAAGGCTGCAGTGGCTGTGAGCATGTCATTGCACTCCAGCCTGGGCAACAGAGTGAGACTCCAACTCAAAAACAAACAAATAGAAACAAAAAAAAAAAATGAAAGAAATAAAAAGTGTTTCAAAAAGAAAGTGTGTTGGGCACAGTGGTTCATGTCTGTAATCCTAGCACCTCGGGAGGCTGAGACAGCATTATCTCTTAAGGCTAGGGGTTTAAGACCAGTCTGGGCAACATGGTAAGACTCTGTCTCTACAATTAAAAAAAAAAAATTAGGAGGCTACTTGGGAGGCTTAGGTGGGAGGATCATTTGAATTCAGGTGGTTGAGGCTGCAGAGAGCCATGATTACACCAGTGTAATTCAGCCTGGGTGACAATCAAGACTCTGTCTCTACTAAAAAAAAAAAACAAAAAACATGGCACTAGAGAGTCATTTTTTCAAATATGAATGACTATAAGCTCTTAAGGAACCATCAATGACCTTAGGTGTACCCACTGTAATAAACATGGGTCTGCCGCACAAACTCACAGTCAGAACAGACAACAAACAGGAGGCTGATAAACAACAAGTCTGGACATGCTAGTCATCCTGGATCATAACTTGGTGTTAGCCATGTGGGCCTTTAAGTTGTTTTTTTTTTTTTTTTACCCCATAGAGACAGGGGTCTTGCTATGTTACCCTGGTTTGTCTCGAACTCCTGGCCTCAAGTGATCCTCCTGCCTCGGCTCTCAGAGTGTTGAGATTACAGGTATGAGCCACTGCACCTGGCCATGTGTGCCTTCTTTTAAAATGCAAATATAAGGCTGGGCATGATGGCTCATAATCCCAGCACTTTTGGAGCCCAACATGGAAGGATTGCTTGAGTCCAGGAGTTTGAGACCAACCTACGCAACACAGCAAGAACTCATCTCTATAAGAGAAAAAAAAATTAGCTGGGCGTGGTGGTGCATGCATGTAATTACAGCTACTTGGGAGGTTGAGGCAGAAGGATAACCTGAGACTAGGAGGTCGAGGCTGCTGTGAGCCATGATCCTGCCACTGCACTCCAGCTTGGGTGACAGAGTGAGACTCCGACTCAAAACAAAAAAGAATATTTTCTTCTAAGCATGTAGATAAAACCCTTGCAGGACAGCAAAGGGAATTTTGATTTGAATAGAGAGGGTAAGATACCCACACTTCTCAGGAGATTCGGGCAAAAACTGAAGGAAAAAAAAAAGCAGAAGTATACCAGAACACACTCTATACCTATTGTATCATTCTACGCAGAGTGAGGAGCCCCTCAGGCTCTAGCACCACAGTGTTTTAGGCTCCCAGAATCCAAGCCAGCAGTCTTAGAAATACAGATAGGTCACACAAGGGGACATCAATGGGGATAGCATGAGAAGGGCTAACATTAATTCAATGAAAATTATTTTGTCAATTTCTTTTTTTTTTTTTGAGTTGGAGTCTCACTGTCGCCCAGACTGGAGTGCAGTGGC